GAGGATCCCACTTCTGGTTATGATTTTACAGACTTATATAATTTTAATTATTTTACCAAAAAATTACAACAAGTGTGTTTTCTTGTTAGTAGTAAAATTTGAGGTCTTATACATTAATGCTTCTCATTTAACAGTACAAGGAATTTTTTATTAAAATACTATTGCAGGACTTGAATCCAATTTAATCATGCTACTTCAAAGAAGTCTATAATTTACACCAGTATGATTGTTAGTAGTTTGCAAATATTGTCAAATTATAGCTAGAAAACAAACTTCTATGGCTAGGACCTCTACTTATACACACCTCATTAGGATTATGTATGAAGAAATGTCTAGTCTTTGAAGAATATATTCTTCTAATTCTAACTACTACAATGCCCTAAAGAATTTTACTCACACAACATTTGGTATCATTTTATGCCACATTTTCTCTCCTCAAATAATCAAAATTATATTTTGGAAATAAAAATTAGAATTTGATTTATAAAAATCTATGTTTTTTGTAAGTTATTTATTTTCAGACCATGTAAGACCAGAAACAAGTTCACGTATCTTTATAAAAGTAAGATAGCAATAAATAATTAAATAATTAAATAAATATAAATATTTAAACATACATTAAACACCAATATAAGTTTATTAGATACATTAAAATTGTATAAAATATCAAGTATATATAATGTAATATTTTTTTAAAAAATTGTTAAATTTTGTAAAATAATATCTGTACAAAGTTGCTGTAAGTATCATCTTAAAATTTAAGTTGCCTTATATAAAAATGAAAATAATTTGATTTGTAGTTATATTATGAAATGAAAATATTTAAATATGAAATAGTAATTGAAAAAAATTCATATATTCATAATTTATTTCCAAGAATAAAATATGCAATAAAGATATGAATGACTACATACGTACGTATGTAAAAAATAAAAATAAAAGTCTATAATGTGTGGTGATTGAAGGTATTAAAATTACTATTGTTTATCAATAATGTAGAATTTCATACAGTTTTATGAAAGGCGTTTACCAAAATTTATCTTTAATCTGTAAGTTTCTCAAAATTTTACTGTCTAATTTCATGGATACAAATGTAGGTTTCTTGGTTATATATATATATATATAAAATATATATATAAAACACACGTGATGACATTAACTTAATATTTTTTATATATTAAAAAACAATTAATTTTATAAGAATAATTATAATTGATCAATACATGTTTTTTTTTCGAATAATAAATGTGGATAAATTAAAAATAACTATAAATAATAGAGTATATTTTTTCCAAAAAATTATTGGTTGAAATTCACAAAACTACCTTTTAGTGAAATATTTAGATTACCTTCTTATTTAAAAAACATTTCATCAAACATTTCAAGAAGGTGTATATGAAACACAAGCACTTTTATTTTTATTTTTATGTACAGCCACTTTTATTGTGTTATATTTAATGCAACACAAATACTTTATAATTAAATTAATTTATCATTTTTCTACCTTTAAAGTAAAATAAGACATACAAAATCACCATTCTAATCACATCCATTCAACTAACACATTTTATTGCAATACAAAAAAAATATTTATAAATATTTATAAATTATAAATTTAAATATTTTTATAAATAATTCATCCAAAGGTTCAAATACAAAACTAATTCCAAGAATGTAATGAACAAGAGCTGTGAGGATAGGGATGCAGAATTGTTCAGAACCAGTCCAGAAAACCAATCACGAGCGTACTTCATTCATCCTCCCGGACCACCGAAACAACGAGAAAGCACTAAATTTTGTCACGGTTTCACAAAACCCTAGACTTCTTGCAGGTATCACAATTCTGTAGACCTAAATTCCAAAGACGTAGATGCGCATCAAATTGAAAATAATGCGGTGTTTAGTTCAAGACCTAAAACCGTGACAATGAGCTAATTTCTAAGAAATTGGGTAGATTATGCTAGATAATTGAGGTTGGAAATCAAGCAGATTGGGGATTGGGTATAGGACACGAGAGCCTTCGTCTCCGTCCTCCATGGGTGCTTTGAGGGGCACTGCTCGATGTCCATGGTCTCGAGAGCTCGAGGTGGAAGAAGCGCGTTGTCGATGCATCATCAGAGCCATGTTAGGGCCAGCGTATCGATTGTTTTCAGGCGCATTTGATGCATTTGATGTGTTGTGTATGTGAGGAGAAGAGCTGTAGACGAGGACGGAAACATTAGTGAGGGACGGAAAGAGTTGAAGTCCCGTTTTGGAGAAAGTCGCAATGGGGCGAGGGCGAGGGCCGAACACGGCCGATTCCTACATCGGTAGTCTTATTAGTCTCACTTCGAAGAGTGAGATCCGGTACGAGGGGATTCTGTATACTGTGGACACTGAGAATTCCAACATAGCGCTGCAAAACGGTGTGGTTTGGGGCTCCTCACTTTTCTTTGCTGTTGTTGTTGTTGTTGTTAGGTAGGTGGAGAAGGGTGTTGATTTGTTGTTGCGACGATTTTAGGATTTATCTTGTGTTGAAGGAAGTGTATGGTGTGATGTCGGTTTTCTCGAGGTGAGATTTGATAGAGGTGGTGGCCTTTTGGTGTATAACTTCGTTCGCGTGTTATGTCTCGATGTGCGTGTTACAGGGCTGACTTGAAGGTCATGTAGAGCACGTAGGGTTAGGTTTTTGAGGCGATTCTGACAATGTGCTGGCTAGATTATTTGTCGATTGTTTGGTAGTGCATTTTCTTTTTCCTTATACGCGTTAGTGCTGGACATCAGAGCATATAGCATTTTATTCCTGAACTTCAGCATGCCCTTACTATGAAGCACGGGCGAAGTCGCTTCTCTATGAAAAAGTATTTCACCTAATTGAGTGGAAAGATGAAACTGCATCTGAAAGTCGAGTCTAATTTATCGTCGCATGTTATGGCATCGTTAGTCGTTGTCATCGTTTAGCTTCAAATAGCATGGGACCTTAGGTTTGTGATTTTCTTGAAACACGTACATCTGGGCAATGGAGAAGGGTGAATGATACCTCTCGAAAAATAATATCCAGGATACTAAGACTTGGAGGAAATCGTCGATTTAACTTAATTTTTAAGTTACGGAAGGGCTATCGAATTGAATATAAAACCTGGTAGAAGTTCCCAGTGGGGTGGTAGGGTCTTTGGGAAGTGCACCTGTTCTCGCGTTCTGTTAACAGCTCAGTGGACTAGAGCTCTGTCGGATCAAGAGTGAATTACCCGGGATTGGGCTACGGAATATATCATTCACGTCTAATGCAACTAGTAGAATCTCTGCTAGATGTAATAAGGATAATCAGAGGGAGTTGAGTGAGATTCGACCACGTTTATTTTGTTACCAAGGTCGCCTCACAGCTCTTCTGTATTGTACATTTGGGCTTGTGATATATACTCTGTCAGAACTTTCATCGTCTCGTGTATCAATCTTGTACTGAAAGTTGATGGTTGGATTCCGTCATGTGACTTGAAGTAGAGGATGAGTTTGGACTTACTTATGGACATGTTCAATTCATTGATCGTTCTTAAACTTATGATTACTATCTTGCGTGTTAATTATATGAGAATCAGTTATGCACTTCTTGTAGGAAAGATCCTTACATTTTTCTGCGTTACCTGAGAAAATTTGGAATAGAGACAGAAGCAAGAAGGCACCACAGTCTGCAATGTTACACATTAACTGTTTTCAGTTTAAGGTTGTCTCTGTACTCCGGGTTTCCATGACGGAGAGCTGGGTTTGGATAAATTGGTCACGTGTAATGATTTGTTTATATTTTTTTATGCAGTGAGATCATTCGGAACAGAGGGGCGTAAGAAGGATGGCCCCCAGATCCCTGCTAGCGACAAAGTTTATGATTATATCATTTTCCGAGGATCGGATATCAAGGTTAGAATTAGGGTTCTAAGGATTTTACACCTCTAGATAAGCTGCCTTAGATGAATTCTTACTTCTACGGGATTGTGTTGAGTAGCAGTGTACTCATGCCCAAGAACCATGTTATTTGGACTGATCTTGCCTCGTATTATGTTATCAGGACTTACAAGTGAAGTCATCTCCACCTCCTCCCTTGCAACCTCCTCCTCCACCCCAACCGGCAGATCCTGCAATCATTTCACTTCAGGTACAGTTGATCTATCTGTGGATGATCCAGAACTACAGGGCTTTATTCTTTATCTCGACCGTTTGTATCTGAATCTGGTGTTCTCAGTTCTAGTATCAGATTCTCGGAATTACTAATTTCTGTCACAAAAACGATTTCTAGTTTATACGCCAAATTTCCTTCATACTCCATTTGTGCTCTAGGAATGCTGGGTTGCCGAGAGAAAGATTTGCGATGGTTCCGTCTCTAATAACCGTGTTATGTCAATTGATCTGCTTAAGCAGTCACAGCAACAATACCCTCCACCGCCCTCCCTCGGGTCGTACAATGGCGGACATCCTGCAGCGGGATCTTCCTCAGAGCCAAGCGCCCCACCTTCTCCTTACATCCGGATGCCATCTCAGTACCCAAGGGCGGTGCCTCCTCTATATCCTCCTGCAGGATTGCAGTCGTGGGGCCCTCCACCTCCTCCTGGTGCCAATGGGTCGGGTCTGGCGATGCCAATGTACTGGCAAGGTTACTATAGACCACCACCGGCGGGACACATGCAGCACCAGCCTATACCTCCCACTTCGTTGGCAGCGCTACCACAGGGTCAACCCCTGCTGCAGCAGTCACCACAACAACACGGACAGCAGCCGGTTCAGCAGGGTCAACATGCATCAGCCTTACCACAGCCGTCACTGGGAGTTCCACATTCCTCAGGAGGGGCAACGGTGCCTGATTCTAGCGGCGAAGTGACTCTTTCTTCGCAATTGCAGCCACAACCTTCACCATCTAAAGCTGTAACTGCTGCAGTAGCACCCTTGGTAGGTTCCCGTCTCTTTCACTGCCTATTTAAGGTTTTGCAATTTTCCTGCATTTGATGGCGTTTTGATGTTAGATGGTTCTCTGTTTAGTGTTTCAAGAGCTGACACTGATGTACTTGCAGTCTTCGACCACGGTGAATCCTACTGTATCTTCGGTGAGCACGACGACCACTCCGGCAGCTTTATCGTCTGGGACACCGGCTTCCGCCTCTGCCTCAGAAGTTCCTATTTCAGCTACTTTCAGTTTACCTTTGTCTTTGCAAGGCGTAAGCGCAGTGATCACGCCAGTTGCGAAAAATCCTCGCCGCATAGTTGGAAATTTGTCTCAGACTCCACAGATTTCTTCATCACAGACCGTGGGGAGCTCTTCTCAAGGATCACAGAGCACATCAAGTGCACCCTCTGTTTCTTCTGGGTCTTTGATAAGTCCCCAAAACGAGGCGGCGCAGACCTCGGGAATCGTAGCGACGGCTGCAAAGCGTGGAACAACTGTTCCACAAAGCCAATTGGTTCCAGATGTGGAGCTCAAACCAGCGGAACCCGCAAATGTTGAAAGAGCATCTTCGGTGCAAACCAGCTCGCAGGCTGCACCTCCGCAGGAGCAACTCAGTCAGCCTCTACTTCCGTTGCCCTCAGTAGAACAGAAGCAACAGGTGTTCTTCATCTCCATATTTTTCTGGTTTAATACGTAATTCATTGTTCTCCATAAGCTGTGAGAAGAATAATTCAGTTATGGTTCCTTTAGTCAGCATTTGAAACAGTATCTTGAGAGCCCTATATTTTGTTAAGTTCATGTAAACCAAGTTCGTTTTGGAATTGTGACATGTATTTCTTTCGAGGAGATATTACGACGTTATAAATGTATAGTTGTAATCTTAGGTATTGGCCTCATTGTATTCTCCGCACTTGTGATGCGGTTCGAAGCATTTCGACACAAATCTTTCTAAAATCTGATTTCTCTTCATTCAGCAGCGAGGACACCATGGCGTACCCGTTGGCCAAAGGAGTCGCTGGCAGGTACCGTACAGTGTTTTTGTAACAGTTAAAGCATACTTCTGCTACTATTGAAAAAGGCTGCTAAATAGACTTTTTGTGAATAATTGTTGGCCGAGGGACAATGATGGACTGCAGTTTTGGTCGCCTGTGCCCTCTTTCATGATTTAGGCGAGAAGGGCTGACATGAATGGTAGATGTGCAGGTAAATGGTTATACGGGGAATGGCAACTACACTCGTCGGGGAAGAGGCCGAAGCAGTGGCAGCGGAAGGGGCATTGGGGTAGGTTTTGGTGATTTCCATTAGGTTCAGAGCCCTCTTTGTACTCTTCTCGTTTTACAGGGAATATTTATATCTATGGAATTTGGAAGTCGGTTGTCAGTGGTTATGGCTTCAGTGGTAGTGCGCTGGTTTGTTGTTTGGTTTCCGATTATAGTACTACTTTCAAGTTTCATACTTTCGTAGCAAGACGAGTGGTCAATGATTGATGTGGTTGTCAATTGTGATAAGCAGCTGGCGAATCCCACACAGCAATTCACAGAAGATTTTGACTTCACAGCCATGAATGAGAAGTTTAACAAGGACGAAGTTTGGGGAACCCTTGGGGGAAAGGATGAAGAAGAAGAATATGAATATGATGATGGAAACGCCGAAGTTGATGTAGCCGATTCTACACAATCAGATGCACCCAAGAAGGTGGTTGTTATTTTTGATTAGAGAATGATTTGGATATGGCTGCTGTTTAATTTCCACTGGAAGATATGCCTGGGAAGACGCGAGAAAGATGTCTTAGTGCTACGTATGAGCTTCTACTTGCGATGAGAGTGTGGATGCGTTTCTTATGTGGCTGACTTGAGGACTTGGTGGTTTGTGTGATAGGCCCTTTATAACAAGGACGATTTCTTTGATTCTCTATCTTGCGATGCAAGTGGAGGCCGCGGTGAACGCACTAAGTTCTCTGAGCAGCGCAAGATTGATACTGAAGTAAGTTGCATTAAGATCACGATTTTGCTTTCTGGCGAGTGTGTAGCTTATTTAGGCTACGAACATATAAATTCACAGGCACATATGCTCCAGGCGATCAGGGTATCATGGTTGAGTTGGCGATAGACAAAATGGTGTTGTGAGGATTCGTGATATGTGGAATCATTCCTTTCTGCGACAATTACCTGAAATTTCTATTGTTGCTGAAGGGATTTGTTAAATTTTCCGTCGAATAGGTAGAATTGTGTACAGGGTACTTGTATCCCATGCTTTCATGGATGTCGGGGAGACTGACTGATAATCCTTGATCTTCAGACATTTGGAGCCTTTCCAATGAGGTCTCGCGGGGGTCGTGGCGGACGTCGTGGAGGCCACAGGGGTGGATACTTTGGCGGTGGGAGTTATGGGATAAGCAGAGGTAGCAGTTATGGCAGGGGTCGTGGTATGGGCCGCTCCGCGTCCGGCCATGTATGAGTAGCTATTCCCATTTGGTGTGGGAATCTACTGTGAGGCAGTCGCCTTTGACATGGGGATGTGATGCATAGCTACTATGCTTGAAGAGGCTTGTTAGGTTGGTGAGGTCTGGAGGTTGTGCATGTAGAACGTTGTGGGTCTGTCTTTTTGCTTGCTGTTTCAGAAGAAAAGGTAGCAGTGGAATGCGATGATCGTGGAGCGCCCTCATTGAAGATTTGGTCTCTAGATGGTGTAATTACCACGTTCTTCACATCACTCTGCGTTTGATCGAACCAATTAGCAAGTATCCATCGGAACGGAACCAACCTAGTTATGGAAGTAGATTGGAAGTCTGGATCCATGGAAGGGTAAAACAGCAATTGCAGATACCTGAATAGGTAGCTAGGCTGTGGGGGTTTCTGTAGAGATGATTTGGAGCGAGAGTTTTAATTCGCTACAAATTCGGAGACAGATTGCTACAATGATGTTTATAGTCGTAGATGGTTCCGTATTCTATGCCGCTCAGATGAACACAAGGCGTTGACTTGACCATTTCATGTGTAAATTTCTTTGAATGTTAGGGTGGTAGAAATCTGTTGGTGGGAATAAACTGGAGCTGTTTGTTGTTTCTGTTTGGTTGTTTTTGAATTGGTTTATGTTTTCTACGAGAATTTCCGAGTGGCTTATTTTGCCGTTTCTACTCTTAGTTGTAAACCTGCACACAGATTGAATAACTGCTTGTAATGAAGATTCAGTACCAAGTTCTGACTTGGTTGTGTAATACTGTTGACCTTTGCTTAAGTACGTCCAACCTAGAAAGTGAAATAAATATGTCCCATCCACCTGACTGATCATAGTGACTATTCACAAGCCGTTCAATACATTTTCATGCAGGAATGGCTATCTTTCGTTTGCTTGTGATTGTGGGTACACTTCAGTGGTTTTACAATTTGCTTCCTTTAAAGTAGTATCGAATTGTTTTGTTCAATAAAATGTTCATCAGGCTATTTGATTTGGAATAGCACATGAAATGCATGTGTTGACACAGTTTAGTTTTTCAATCTATGGCGTGGTGCACATTATTTGTAAAACTAACACTAAATTAATAGTGTGCTGTTGTGATTGATTACCAACTCCTCACTTGTCATTATTCCATAGATGATATGGCATAGCTGTTGTCCTTACTACAAACTCTATGTGGGTGGTTTCTGTGCTAATTCATACTGCATTGATATTGCTTTGCAATGGAGTGCTATTATTGCGCATCAAGCCATTCTTTCAATAAGTAGAATAGAATTACATAAAGATTGAAGTACTTATTTGAAACTAAAAATAAATTTAGTATTTGAAAGTAATAGAAATTATGTTTCGAAAAAACGAATTTATCACACGTAGAAATTTGAAATAAGTGTTGTTTAAACTGACAATTTCACATTTTTGTGTTTAATCCCACAAATTATAAAATGTTATGATTAGTTTTAGAATTATTTTTTGAATATGTACTATAAATATGTAAATCACTCTGTTAATATAAAAAATATTTTGAGCGATTATATTATATGCGCCAACCAATTAAATATGCAATATGTAAAACATTTGTGAAATTATTTATTTAAAATTTGATTTTATAACAATTTTTTTAAATTTATTTAAGTTGAATTACAAATCTGAACCTACTAAAATATCACCATTTAACATCTAATACTTTTTGACCTTTGAATCTAATAAGAAATAATAAGATATTTTCTCATTTCATATTACTATATATATATTTAATTTAATTTAATTTAATTTTTTTAATACCTTTTGAAATTTAATATAATATAGAAACGCAATTTAGTAAATCAAGATTGCATGTAATTTTGGCAAAAATTCTTGTATAACCCATAAAGCAGAATGTTTTAATTTTTTTTTTAAACAAATTCCACTTTCAAAAAAGTAAAAGACATCAAAATTTATTAAATATTTTAATAAGGAATTTTATACACACACACACACACACACATATATATATATATATATATAGGGAGAGAGAGAGAGAGATACGTGTGTACACACACAGTCAATTAATAATTAAAATCTAGTTTGATTTCAATATTTGTGGTATAGCAAAGCAAATAAGAAGAGACTAACATCAATCTTATGCCACATTGCATTTGGCTCCACTCGAAGCAGATACTCATCAATTTGCCAAATCTAAAAAGACTTCAAAACATTCATTAACTCCAATACAATCACTCATGCACTCTACGCTACAAATGCACCCTATGCCGGAAAGACGAAGCACCTCTTCTAGATAATTATGATCCAAACCAAACAGTTGAAACCATTCCACTTCTAGGACAAAATATTCCTCCCAATAAAGGCTGAAGAGACATTTTGGGCCATTCTGTAGCACAAATGCAATTTCATGTTGGTCTTGCAGTGTTATGATGTCAAGAAAACGGTTTTGCGAAGCACCTAAGTAAGGTACTCACATGTTGTGTTGCTAGTGGCAACATGTGGCGTATGAGGATCACAGGGAAACTTTATCAGTGCTTGAATACTGAATTCTGATATTGATGCCACTACATGATGTGTGGGATACTCCAAAGGTGCTTCTACAAACTTCAAACTATTTAAGTCAACCAAAGACCGAATATCCTGAAAAATTGGACGATTGATGGCGCTGTGAACAATCCCCCAGCGCTTGGATAGAGTACTCTGAGGGCAATGCTTACAATCAGAAAGCAAGTGCAGTTCCAGTGCAGCTCCCAGTTCTGAAAACGGATGAACAATGGAGGATATTAAGAGTGTGATAAGAATGGCTGTACAGCCGGGGTCCTACCAGATCTGATTGATCTTGGAGGACTTGGCTGAATGGGTGGATGTTCTGGAGGACCGCCGAAGCCAAGTCCTGTTGGGCTCTGGCGCTCGTGGCGGTTACACTAGAAGATCTGATAATGAGATCCTTAGCCCTAACCCGCATTGATGCAAGTAAAATATGGTACTAGCTCAAGTGGCGCTGAAGCTTGGCTCACCATTTAACTTGTGTTGAATCTTTAGCACTCATCACAACTATGTGATTGACTGCATCCCGATACTTGGATGGCCATTCCCTAAACTCACGTCATCTTCTCTATTCTCTCACCTGCTTTCTGGGCTCAGGTTCACTAGCAGAAGTGTGCTCAAATCTTCCAGCTTGGCAGTGTACCAGAAGCATAGTTGAAGTTGTTCCCTAGTGTGATTTATTGTTGTCGCTACTAAATGCTGTTAGTTGGAACACATGTATTCAGGGACTCATCACACAAGATTAATCAGGTTTATTGTCAAGTGGAACCGATGCAGGCCGTTAGGTAATCGAGTTGTAGCGTATCAGTGCTTCAGTTTGCGTGCCAGTGCCACTGACTAATTGGGACTCAATAGCGGCTAGTGGCGAAAGACGAGGGTTGCTTTCATCGTTGAAAGATTTAGTTTGTAATTCAGTGATCCGGCGCTTAAACCATGTAACCGAAGGTCGTCGCAGCAGGTGCATCTGGAGCAGAAGCCCAAGCAGGAGCTAGCGGTGGAGGTCCCGGAGTTTTTTCTATGCCCCATTCACTTGGAAATCATGGCGGACCCCGTGACTCTTAGCACGGGCATGACACACGACTGGATGAGTATCAAGAGATGGCTAGCAACGGGCCATAACACGTGCCCTACATCGAATCAGGTGCTCCAGAGCAAGGACCTCATTCCTAATCGCACTCTTAGCCGCGTCATTCAGAACTGGTGCACGGAGAACAAGGCATCGGAAATCGATTGCCTCCCCACCCTCAGACCACAAGTGGAACCAGACACAACGAAAACGCTGCTCCACGGTTTGTCGACTTAGAGCATTGCGATGGCGAGTTCTTGAAGAACCTCTTCACAGTAGCTGAAGGATGTAGACGCAAGAGGGAGTGCCCTAAAGAGGCTGGGGCGGTGCCCGTGCTCGCCAACGCTTTGGCTAGCACAAGAATGAATCTCGACACCAGGGATGGTAGGAAAGCAGCGGAGAAACGCTGAAGCTACTAAACGGGGTCTCCGGTACGCAGTCCGCTCGGCTAGTGGTGCAATCTGGTGTCGCAATTCAGCCGGTGGCTGGTCGTAGGCGACTGCAACTCCACGGCGAGTTGTGATGCATCTGATCGATGAGAATGGATCAGGTTGCAATGTAGCAACCTGCTACGGTTGCGTTGTGGATTTACCGCTACAACCCAGAAATTAGCTCGATGAGCACTCACAAGGGCATGCGAATGTGCAGGTTGATGTTGATTCTTGTGAGGTACTGGTATTGATCCATGTGTAGCGTAGTCGATCTTCAGACTTTTTACTCGACGTTTGGTGCGAAGATTGTTGTTCGGTGCCTGTAGTTTTGGTTTTTTTTTTAAAATTTTCTATTGCTCACGATTTTGGTTGGGTCACATGTGAATTGAATCACTAGTTTGGCTTGTATGCATTAGGTTAATCAACTATGCACCGGTTTAGCTTGTGGATATTAAGCCCAGCAACTGTGCGCATCTGCGGATTGATCAGGAGCAGAATCTTTGAGGAATACATGTAATCTAGTCGAATTCCTAAAGTGGATCATTCCTGCCCCTGAAAACAAACACACAATCGGAGAACTTGAAGCAATTTTATTTGTTTGCTTGTTTATGAGCCTCCATTTCAGATGTTTTCACGGTGGTTTCCTTGTAGTTAGATTAAAGTGTACAGACTTGTCCCCTTATTGAGATTACAAATGAGCAGTTGTAAGGCAAGACTACGACTATGCCCAACTGAGTGATAACTGTGGATGAAAGTAGAACTGTTGTGTTGATTAAAAAATATGATATGTAGTATGATTAGACCATATGCTATAAAATATTTTACAAAATTAGAACCAACATGTAAATATGTATATATATATATATATACACATCATTTGTTGACAACAGATCCTCGTAGACTAATGCTTTGTTAGTATTTTCAAAATGGTCATAGAAGGCCATTCTACTGGGGAAAAAAAAAAAAAAAAAAAAAAAAAAACTTTAAGATCAAAAAAGTATCTTGTACAAATATCTTTGGCTTGAAAGGAAATATAATCTTAAAAAAATTGAAATTACCTCAACAAATAAAAGCCTAAATTGTGTGACATTCAAATATTTGTGCTAAACTTTTGATAAATTAAGCATGCAGTTGTGGATTATTCCAAATATAAATACACATGTGATAATATATATTTTTTTATAAAAGAGTTACAACCACCTAATGGGTATATTTTCTTATAACAGTAAATTCTATACATAGTCACGTAAATAGAGGTAAGTAGTATTGTTTCATTTTTATATTATCTCTTTTGTGAAACATTGTAGAAGCTTTGAAACCTTCTTCAAATCTACATATATTTTTGGATGCACCTTTTGGCTATTAAAACTTCTAAAAAAATGATGTTTAGATCTATAAAACTCCTATAAGAAGATCTAAAACTTATAAACTGGTTCTACAAATGTTTTTGTTCTTAAAACGCTTGTACAATAATTTTTTCTTATACAGTATGTGTAAAAGTAAGGATAAAGTTTTTATTTGCCATATCAAAATTTAATTTTTGATTTTCTCTTAACATGATACCAGTGTCTTTGTTCTTACCA